TGTCCTGGATCACCTCCCTGTCCTTCATGTGCCCAAGCATGGCATCTAGGAGGATCTGTTCCATGTAGAGATCTGTTCCATCTGTTATGTAGAGGCACTTCAGCTGGGCTGTTGGCTGTGCTGTCTTCTTAGGGGAACACCCCTTGAAGTGTCTTACAAGTGTTTCTCTACTGACTTCAACTACCTCAGGGGCTGCTGGCTTATCTCCATAAGACTGTGACTGCAGTACAGTGTCACCAGTGTGCCTCAGGGCAACAGGCTGAAGACCCTTATTAGCACCCCATTCTTCTAACCCCTGGCTTGAAGTCCAGATGGAGAGCAGTGACAAGCAGTGTCCCTCAAGGGTCTGTGCTGGGACCGATACTGTTTAACATTAACATCAATACTATAGACAGGGGGATTAAAGGCACCATCAGCAAGTTTGCAGACAACACCAAGCTGTGTGGTGCTGTCAATACACCGGAGGGACGGGATGTCATCCAGAAGGACCTGGACAGGCTGGAGAGGTGGGCCCAGGTGAACCTCATGAGGTTCAACAAGTGCAAGGTTCTGCACCTGGGCTGGAACAATCCTCACCATCAGTACAGACTAGGGGGTGAGGTATTAGAAAACAGCCCTGAGGAAAGGGACTTGGGGGTGCTAGTGAACAAGAAGCTGGCCATGAGCAGGCAGTGTGCAGTTGCAGCCCAGAAGGCCAATCCTATCCTGGGCTGCATCAAAAGGTGCATTGCCAGCAGGTACAGAGAGGGGATTCTTCCGCTTTGCTCCGCTCTGGAGTATTGTGTGCAGGTCTGGAGCCCTCAATATAAGAAGGACATGGACCTGATGGAGAGGGTCCAGAGGAGGGCCACAAGGATGATCAGGGGGATGGAGCACCTCTGCTACGAGGACAGGCTGAGGGAGCTGGGGTTGTTCAGCCTGGAGAAGAGGAGGCTCCGGGGAGACCTAATAGCAGCCTTCCAGTACCTGAAGGGAGCCTACAGGAAGGCTGGGGAGAACCTGTTTAGAAAGGCCTGTAGTGACAGGACGAGGGGCAATGGCTTCAAGCTGGAGGGGAACAGATTTAGACTGGAGATTAGGAGAGGGTTCTTTACTGTGAGGGTAGTGGAGCACTGGAACAGGTTGCCCAGGGAGGTGGATGAGGCCCCTTCCCTGGAGATATTCAAGGAGAGGCTCGACGAGGCCCTGGGCAACCTGGTCTAGTTGGGGGTGTCCCTGCTGACTGCGGGGGGGTGGGACTAGATGACCTTTGGAGGTCCCTTCTGGCCTGGGCAATTCTATGATTCTATGTGTTACCCCGTAGCTTGTCCCCCTCCCCCTTCACGTACACCCTTAGCCCTGCCTCACCTCCCCAGAGCCTCCCTAGCCCTGCCTGTGCGGAGTACAACTAAAGATCAAGTGAATGTTGTCTGTCTGGTGAGCCCTCAGGCCACCTGATTATTTGGATTATCTTCCATTTTACTTGATATAATACTTCTAGCAAGTTCTTATTTTCAAATGTATTTACTTAAAATATACTGACTTTAAAAATCGTAGTATCTTTTCAGTTTTTCTAAAAGTAAAAACTTTTAAAAGTTGCTACTGCTATTAAGCTGCAGTCAAAAAGCTTAAGATACAGTAAGGAAGCTTTTCTCTGAGCACTGATTATGGATGTGACTAGTGAATGTTTTAAATAGATTTATTCAGGCAATTTCACATCCTTCCTGTCCATTGAATGTATGCATAGTGTCTCTGTGCTTAGAACAATTATGAATATGATCTGGTGAAGTAGTCTATAGAGAACAATTTGCAGTTGGTAATAAAACAATGCATGTTTGTTTTTTGAGCATGTGGTTGAGTGAGCTCTGTTCAGAGACGCGGCCGTCTCTTCTGCTTGCCATTGAAAGCTATTCTGCTATGAGCTGGAATGTTTCCACTGCTGGCTTTTGGAATTTTTCAAAACAAAAGGAATTTGTTTCAGTTACTATAGATGTTTTCTATTTTACCTGTTGGAATGTTTTCTAAAAATGGGTTTTAACACCATGTTTCTAAAAGCTTGTGTATCTTTTAATGGTGATTGTACAGTACATCTTTACCAGAAGGGTTGAATCCATGTACCAGTGGTACGTGGTACATTTCCAGATGGAAATTCAGTGGTGTAAATACTTACTTTGAATGGTATTGTTCTTTGATTTTCTGTAATACATTCTTTCTCACCTGTGGCCTCAACATTTGTTTTCTGATTTGTGTTTTTCAGGCTATTTTTTGTAGGATCTCGAGAAGGTCACCTTCCTGATCTGTTGTCTATGATCCACATACAGAGGTTCACACCTGTTCCAGCACTGCTCTTCAATGTAAGTTATTATTGCTTTTCTTTTCAACTATTCAGATGTGACTATATGAATTATTTAAAGGAAGACTTCAAAAAAGCACAAGAGAGAACTTCAGATTTACTGTCATTGAGGTGATTTTTGACAGAGTGAATTTTGAGAGGCATAGTCATGTCAAACACCAAGGAGTAAGAGGTGTTACTTTCACACAAAAAGCAGCATAAACAAGAAGTTTCAAACTTTTGTTGTTCATCTCACCCCTGTTCTTCTCTGACAGTGTGCTATGACCCTTATTTACCTGGCTGTGGAAGATGTCTTCAAGCTTATTAATTACTTTAGTTTCAGTTACTGGTTTTTTGTTGGTCTGTCTATTGCTGGACAATTATATCTACGTTGGAAGGAACCAGATCGACCCAGGCCTCTTAAGGTAATTTTTACTTATTACAGAATTGTTTAAACTCTCTCTCATAATGTAAAAGTACTATGTAAAATCTGGGACATACGTGTTATTCCTAAAGGTTACAAATAGATCAGGATGCAAAACATGGTTTTTCTTCTATATTGTACCATGAATATGGTTGTCTGCTAGGTAAGAATGAGGGATTATTGTAAAAGTATACTTTTTCATTGTACGTTAGTTCAATCATTGTGAATGAGGGATTATTGTAAAAGTATACTTTTGTACCCTTCTCTCTGTCAACTGGAGATTGTCTCATGAGGCTACCATAGTAGTTAGCCTTTTTTGTTGGATTAGAAATCTCAAATTAGGAATGCTTAAATTAATTAACTCTGTCGGTGTGGACCACACTTGGCTCTGATGGTGTTTCAGTTCAATACCTCACCCTCTTACCACCTTCTCACATGATACTCTACATGAAAGTCATTCTTGTTACCTGGGTTTTATTGGATTTGTCTAAAAACACTTCATGCTGTTACACGGTTTCTTTCAAGACTGCAGTTACCATACTTGATTACTTTTGTGATTTTTAGCAGCAATTCTGTTCAAGAATAATTCGGCAATTTGCTTATGGTTCCAAATAGCCAGATGTGTAATAGGAGGAGCAGATAATTTTACAAAGTGGGATTGAGAGGGAAAAGTCTAATTCTCACCAAAATGCTTGTAACTGTAAACAATGGATATTTCAGTAACATCCTGTTCCTTTGTTTTCTGTCTGCAGCTGAGTGTGGCTTTCCCAGTAATATTCTGTATATGCACAGTATTCCTGGTGGTAGTGCCCCTCTATAGTGACACGATCAATGCATTGATTGGAATTGCCATTGCTTTATCTGGAATTCCAGTATTTTTCTTGGGAGTCTATTTACCTGCATCAAGGAGACCTCAGTTTATCAACAAGCTTTTAGGTAAGTTTCTTTGTGGATAGAGATGTTGTTAGGAAAGAGGAAAATCAAAGAAGTGAATCTGGGTTTGTTAATGAAAAGGCTTGTGGGGAGTTGACCCCAGGCAGCAGCTAAGCACCCCCAGAGCTGCTGGCACCAGCACCCCGCAGCAGAATGGGGGAGAATATAGGAAGAAGGTGAGAAAACTTGTTGGTCAAGATAAAGACAGTGAAGGAAAGGAAGGTAAGTGAAGGAAAAAGGCGAGAAAAACCAAGTGATGCAAAGGCAGGCACTTAACCACCTCCCACAAGCAGACCATTGCGCAGTCAGTCTCCGAGCAACAGGCACCTTGAAGAAACCCTCCCACGTGCACGCTTTTCTTCCTCTGCCCCAGTTTTTATTGCTGAGCGTGACATTCTGTGGCATGAAATATCCTTTTGCTTAGTTTGGGTCAGCTCTTCCAGCCATATCCCCTCTGAACTTCCTGCCCAGCCCCATCCTGCTGGTTGCAGGGAGGGCAGAGTTGGGAGATAAAAAAAAAAAAAGCCTTGATACTGTGCAAATGCTGTTCAGCAAAAGCCAAAACAGGGGTGTGTTAGCAACCCTGTTTGAGCCACAAATCCAAAACACAGCACCACATGGGTTGCTATGAAGAATGTTAACTGCATCCCAGCCAGACCCAGTAAAAAGGGTATACTGATTTTAGATGGTTTTATACCTATTTACTGTATATTTAAAAGGTCGTCCAGTTTCTACAGATTTTGTTTTGAGCAGTGGGGTGCCTATGAGGAAAAACACCCTAAGATATCAACAGAACAGTTTTAAACATCTGTTTTATAAAAAAAAAAAAAAAGGAATGGAAGACACTTTTTGTATTAACTTTTATCATTTTGTTTCCCTTAAGAGAAGTGAGCATTCTTGACAACTCACTTTAATTACTCGGCTGCATGTTGTATAATTAGAGTTGAGTAGGCAGCTATTCTTCTGATTTATCTTCTTTCCTATGCAGGTGTAGTCACACGGAACATGCAGCTGCTCTGTTACTGCGTTTTAACAGAGATGGACAAAAATGAAGAAAAGAAGTTAGAAATCAAATCCAACTAAAAATTCAAAGCCATTACAAGAAACAGGAGGGAGGATAAGGCAATTATGACAACAAAAGGGAAGAGATGGAGCTGGAAAAAATGGGAAAATTGTTTCCAGTGGTCTCTCAGAAACACTGGAAATGTCCTTGCAGTTGGACTCTCACATAAATCGTGCCCTCACGTCACCCTCCTGAACTGTGGCATGTTTTCATTGGATAATGATTACCTACTCATTTCAGGCACATAAGCCATGCATCAATACTGTTCCTTCTTCAAAATTGGTATTAAAATGGTAAGAGCTAATGGATCAAATCAGATTTTTGCGGAACCAGGTGGCGAAGTAATGCATTTTTAATTTAGACTGAAAAACACTTTGACTCAAAAGACCAGAAGTCATTTCTAGCTTAATTGTGATGAATGTTTGCATGAAATTATTTGCTGTTCTACCCTGGTTCTTATCCCAGAAGACAGCTGGTCCCAACAAACTACCTAACTTATCGTTATTAGCAAAAAAAAAATATGAATAAAGTTGTGCTACATTATTTAAAGACTGAACCAACCCTTCTCCCTTGCAGATAAGTATTTATTCTGCACCGAAATGTGGTATCTGACCGTGGCAAGGATTTAATCAACAAAGCTCCTTTGCATTGAAGATCTGATTAACATTTGATGATTCTTTACTGTTAGCTTGTTCACACTTGGTCAACTTCTGACAGGCTTTCTCAAACTTCCAAAATTAAAGTGCTCAGTTTGATGCTTGTATGCATTTGTTTCCGAACTGTTTCAGTGAAACACATTAGCAGTGTTACCTCAGTGGTCAGAAAATTCCCTTGCTAAATTTCAGTGCTGTTCACTGGAAAATGACCATCGAGAAGTTCACAGAACAAACCACTTGTTTTCTTCTATAGCAGAAGTTCTGTGGCAGCAACTGTATCTTGAAAGCTAAGTATCTGGGAGAGAAAATAGGAATAAAAAGCAATAATGCCATCCAGACTGATGCTAGTTCGTACTATTTGTAATTTCAAAGCTGTAATTCCGTCCTTGTTTTGGCCAAATTTACCAAAACCAGATCGCCCTCCTCCCCCCCTCCCCAAAAAAGAGGAGAGGAAGAGATGAGATTTAGAAGTTTAGAATGAACTAAACTATTTAATGAAGAATTAATATTAAAAAAGAAAATAATGAAATAGATACAATCTATACAAAACCGTATCAAGTTCCCAGGATGACAATAATGTCACCAGCAGGCACTGGACTCAGCCACTGATGGGAACTGGGTTCCAGCTCTGGACTCAGGAACATACGGATGGGGATCAAAGGCAGATGAACAGAGAGGGTCCTCTTCGGACATCGGCCATTGCAGAAAGAGGGCTGACCCTTTGATCCCTCAGCTTTTATACTGAGCATAGGGCAGATGGGATGAAATACCCTGTGGGTCAGGTTTGGGTCACCTCTCCTGTCCCTTCCTCCCCAGAGATGTGACCCCTCTACACTTTTTCATTTCCAACCCTCCAACGGGGCAAATAACGAAATTGTCTGACCTTGGCTGTAAAGCAGTAAGTATAAGCAAGGGCATGTAGCACAAACATTGGTCTGATCACTCTGAGAACGAGCAGTTTTCTCCACAAAATGCAGTTAATTTCAGAGAGTTAGAAGAGGCCTAGCTAAGATGCAATTACAGAACAGAAATTGGTTCTGTTGGTACTTCAAACCGGGAGAAAACCTAACATCAGGACACTGTGATACTGAATTTTGGTGCAGCAAGCAGTAACATGAAGCCAGCCCGTATGGCCAGCAGAGTGGATATACTTCAAAAATATACCTGGAATTCTTACCCTATTTACCTCAGTTAACCTAAGCTTGGCTGCATGTGCAGATTTTTGTGCACTGAAGCTGAACTAAGTCTTGTAACTACAAGAATATGGCTGAAACAATGCACGCTTCAAACACTGCACCACATTTGCATCAAGCATTTGAATAGTGAGGATATTTGGATTCCTGTACTGTCTTCTTCACCAGTGTTATCTGAAACAAAAAGCTGCAGATCACAGCTGCTGCAATCTACAGCTCATGCCTGACATAGATCTAACACCGTTAGCTATTTCTTACAGATTCAAGTAGGAGAGCGCTGAAACACCGTGTATGTCCAAACAGGCAAGATTAAATTGTTTTAAATACAATTTAAAACGCTGACATGGCTTCAGCTGTACGACCTCCTCTGATCTTTAAAGGAGTAAAGAAAACTCAGTCAAAAATTCTTTATTTACAACTTAAATAGACATATATTGTTCTACTCCAATAGTAAAATTACTGGGGAGAGATCCAGCAATAAAATGGACAGGTCAAGGCATTTCATGTGCTCAAACACATGTAAAGAAGGTAACTTGAAACTTAGGAACAAATACACTAGAAAGCGTGATGACAGGGTGCCTTCTTTCCAGAACTTTCACTTGCCCTTGTGGCAGACATTAATCTTCTTGTGAAACCTGACAAATTTGTCATGATAAGAAGGGCTGCTGCCGACAGTGCCTCCATGTACAATGTGGAGGTACCGCTGCCACAGGTACAAATGCTTGGGCATGCAGCTTGCTTAAGAAACAATAATTTAAAAGTTCCTTCAGTACCTCAGCATCACAGAATGGACAGAAAAATCTACTTTAAAGCACACAGTATCTTTTGCTTGGAACAAAAACTTATATTGTCAAGTGGCGTGTTCACACCCATCAGTTTGATCTCTACCAGTTAAGCTGGCTGCTCAAATAGATAGTAAAAGGTTTTGGCATTTACTAGAATCCCAATCTAGGATCTAATACTCACACCTGGTCAGTACCATTAGGGTGAGCCATGCTAGTCACCAACAGCTTCAGAAGCCAGACAGGCAAAAATTTAGCTTAAACCTCATCCATGTAAAGACTGGTTTCCTACTGTCCCAGTGAGCACAACTTTTACCAAACAGTGGTTTTCCACGTTTTTGGGGGGATTGATTTTTTTCTTTGTTGTGGTTTTTTGTTTTGCTTTTTAAGTTCAACATTCTTGTGCATAGCCATCAGCAGCTTTCTAGGTTTTCAATTCTACCACAACAGCAGAATTTAATCTTCAGTTTACATTTCACCTTCAAAAAAGGGCTTAGTCAGAATCCAAATCCTGGATCTCATCATATCCAAATTCCTGTAGAACCTCCTGCCGATATTTGTTCCATGTTCTTCTCCTGTAACATTGGTCTTCATCACTGAAGCTCTCATCAGACTCTAAAGAAAGAGCATAAATAATTTAAGATTATCACTTCTTTTTAGTTAAACAATTAGAGTAATAAACTATTGTAAGCTTCTTGAGTAAGACATTAAGAAGTACAAACTCTGAACAACTTTTATATTAGATGAAGTTTGAATTGTGCTAGGAGTGCTCTGGGATGAGGAGTTAAGAAAGCAAAGACGGTTCCACACGCTTGTGAAACACTAAGTCATCTATTCCTTCCCAAAACAAGCATCTTCAGGCTTCTGCAGGTGCAGCAGCCTGAAATGGAGTTCTTAATTTTGACTTTGCAAAAACACTAAGATTTCTTGTAGTTCCAAGAAAGGTGATCCTTCTGTAAGCAGACTGAACCCACAAGAGCAGAACACTACCCCACCAGTGCTCAGTTGCTTTTTTAGAGACAGCATGTAAAAATGTTCACAGCACGAAAGCGAACACTATTTATGACAAGCATACCTTTTTCTCCATCACCTTCTTCCTCAGGTAAGAATTCATCTTCATCGGGATAATCATTACGCCAGTTATTTTCATCATTTTCATCATCTTCATCTTCATATATTTCCCCTGCAACGTCATCATTATCTACCTGCATGTCAACACAAAGACCAACATTCAGTACAAATACAGACACTTAGCACTTTTCCACCCACCCATACAAGACTATACAGGTCACAAATAGCCAAGAGATCCTGATCTACCGCGAGCGTCAGTTATCCAAATAGTTGCACAGAGCAGCTGTCAGTATATTCACCATCGCACAGCAATCTGCTTTAGGTGAAAAAAAAATCACCAAAACCATGCATTTAAATGTTCCGGATCAGCTTTAAACACCAAGGTTAATGTCTTGGTGTAATGTCTTGGTGAAGTGCTCCTCACTTCAGCAGTCGTGTAATACATCAGGAAGCAGAAAAAGAAGCTTCAAGTTCCTGATACACAAGTCTATTGATCACAGTACCTATACAATGGAAGACTTAAGTTGACATTTAACTTTCTAACTCCACAGTTACTGAAGGACAATTCTATTACAGGAAAATATCTCGTATTAAGATTAAAGTCAAGTCCCCAAATATTGAAAAAGATGCGTGTACCTCCCATGTTCCTTTTTTCACTCAACTGTATTTCCAACTACATTTTTAATTGCTGCCTCCTCGTCATAAACAAGATGTGAATTGCTTCAAGTTTACATTTGTGTGCAAAAATTTATTTGGCAATTTGAAGCCAGACAAGTTTTTCAGAGTAGAGTATGTGAGGACTGTCCCTTCAGTTTTCATTGTCATATCAGAATTTGCTTGAATCAACAGTAACCTGGAAGAACACAGGACTGGCAGTGACAAACAGCCGAACACAGATGTCGCTGAGCGTGTCACATTCTTATTTGTGACCTTTCTATTTAAGAAAGATCTGTTTTCCCACATCCTTACCAGTTCATATTCTTCTCTATACGGCTGTACAGAGAGGATGTTTTCAATCCAACCAGGGGCTGATGTTTCCATATAGTAGATGTCGTAAACATACTCCTCTTTCTCATGGTGTTCTTTTTTACTGTCTTCAGAAACATTTAAACGCTCACGGATCATCTCTACTGCATTGCAAAGAATCACATCTGGATCAGTCTTCTGCTGAGAAAAAATAAAAAAATTAAAAGGGCATATTTCCACTGAAGTCGTGCACACGAAGGTTTAGTTACAGCCAACTGCCTTTGTAGACAGTAGTCAACAGCAGGCTAAGGATGACATTCTGAAATCTTCAACCAAAACACTTTTCCATTGAAATGCTGGTATTTGGAACATTAACTAGAAGAGAAAGACACAGAAAAATTTTCCAATTAATGCAGTAAATCCAGCCATACCCAGTTCAGAAAATTTCTGGAACAAGTTCATTAGAAACTATTGAAGGGGATATGACTAACCCCATAGAACTGTTCCTCTGTTTCTGATGACGTGTTGGTTGAAAAGAGCAGTTTTAAGGCAGCCTGTGCTTTGTAAAGCGTTACAATTGCCCCCCCCAGAGAAGATGCACATACAGTAGCAGTGATAACACACAAGCAGATTACAGTACACAAAGTGTGCAGGAGAAACAATGACAATATGAGAGATGAACAGGAAAAGGCTGACACACCCTACAGATATGCATTTTATTTCCTTGTTTCCTAACTTAAGCACATAAGAAATTTCCCACATAAACACAGAAGAAATTTCTTTGTGCTTTCTCTTTCCTAATAAATTATTTCCAATGTATTTGCTTTAGTGACCAGCACTTGAAGGTCTACACAGGCAAGTCTTTGCTGCCAGTTATTCTCTACTAGAGCATTTCAGAATATCTTGTCCAATCCACAGTGATGTCTCCTGAGCTACTTGAGTAATTCTGAGGAACAGCTAGACCAGCCTTTCACTCATGTCTAAATACTTACAGAATGACAAAGCTTACTTCTTTCAACACTTACTGCTTGTAAGTTCTGATGCTACCTCAGTTTCATTTCCGTTTTTCTAATCAGCAGAATGGCAGGTAACAGTTAACTAACAGATCTCAAATGTCTCTTTGAACTATGTGCTTAATAAAAAATGAGAGTTCATACTAATGTTTGATGGCAAAGCCCTGAAATAGCCTGTAGGAAATGCTGAAGGATGACAGCTGGTTGGACTCTTCCTCACCCAAATACCTTCTTTAACATTAAGCATTTTAACTTTTCCTCAGAGCTGTGATAGGCTGCGTAAGTAAAGCATCCATGTGTACTTACAGATCATAGAATGGTTTGGGTTGGAAGGGACCTTAAAGATCATCAAGTTCCAACCCACCTGCCCTGGGCAGGGACACCTCCCGCCAGACCAGGTTGCTCCAAGTCCCATCCAGCCTGGCCTTGAACCCTCCAAGGATGGGGCAGCCACAATTTCTTCCTAGTTTCTAATCTAAATCTCCCTTCGTTCAGTTTAAAACCATTACCCCTCGCCCTGTCACTCCCCTCCCTGATAAAAGAGTCCCTCCCCAAATATATATAGTGAAGAAACTACTCTCTCTATATATATATACAAACACATATAGTGAAGAAACTACTAAAGAAAGCATATACAGCCCTCATACCTTCTTTTCCATATGGTTATGACTCTCAGATACAAAATCTTCTGAACGCTCTGCAGGGTCAACCCTACATAGAAGGCAGAGCTTCTTCCTACTTAAAACCATGCTAGGCATTGAGCAGGTACTCCTCAGACTGAAAACATACTTAACTCTTAATACCAATAGAAACAGGACATAGGGGCTTAAGCAGCCCGTTAAACATCTAGAGTTCTGCTAAAAACAAAATAAACAATAAAACCTTGTATTGGAATTATGAGAAGGGGAAGCTCAAAAGTATCTTTTCCTTTAGTGAGTCTTGCCTAGAAGTGACATTCCTAGGCATCTGGGTAGGTAAGCAGACACCAAATTAGATTTTTTTTCTTTTCTAGGTAAAGAAGTTAATCAAAACCCACCAAGACTGATCTGACAGATGAACGTGAGAATTTATACATCAGAGCAGGGTACAGGAAAAACAGGGCGGTACAAGCCCTTCCTGCAGCAGCCAACTCCACACAGCTGTCTGTCTCAACAACATTAGTGCACTTAAGGATCCTCAAATAAGTTACTCCCTGTAAAATACTCCAGCTTGCAAATATCTAGTTAAAGCTCCTATTAAACAGTACAATACTTACAATGCAAAAACCTTCCACAGCGCTCAGTTTGCCCACATGTACCAGTCAACAGTGACACCAAAGTACTTCAAGTACCCTAAGTTCGTTTGCTGACCTGAGGGTTTGTGGCAGCTACACTGGACTCTTCCACCACCTCCTCTTCCTGTTCAATATCAAACAACTGGAATCTCCCACAGCCGTCCGAACTCTCATCCACGGCACCACTATCCTTTTGTGAAGAGCATTCTGTTGCCTCAGAGTCCGCTCTGTCCCCACCGATGGATGGCTCGCCATCTCTGGCAGGCGTGGCTGGTTGGGCACAGCTGGGACGATGGCTGGCTACCACACGGTAACGGTTCTCCTTCCTTTTCTCTTGCTTGGAAGAGCGGAGCTCCTGGATGATCCGCTGAGTGCTTCCTAAAGAGGGTCGCAGACTCTGAGCTGCTTTCTCTCGAGTGATCACTTCCTGAACATATTTCTGGAGTGGTTCGTTCTGGGCAGAGGAACAAAACAAGAGGCAGCACAGTCAGTCTGACTCCTTCCTGGGAGTGATTCCTAACTGCTAGTACTGGTACTCCCTATTCGAGGACTGCAGTACCAACCTTCCTCACAACATTCAAAGTAAGCTCTACTGCTTTCAGTCTCTTGATACTGGGGAAAAAAGTATAAGACACTTGTAAATTCTAAGACTGCTTCAATTTGATTTTCAGACAATATACTTTGTGGTAGAGAATACCCCTCCGAACAAAAACAAATGCTTTTTGAAGACTGTGACGGTCCTAAATTCAAGGCGTATTACCCTCCCTCACCGGGCAGGACAGCGTCTCCCCGAGAGGCGCTGCCCCCGGGCCCGCACAGCCCCCGCGGGTCCGCTCCTTGCAGGAGCACAGCACAACGCCCCGGCTGGGGCACACCGCCCGAGGAACGGCCCCGGCCCAGGGCAGCGGTACCTTGGAGGAGACGGTCGCCACCAGCGTGAAGAGGCCCTTCTCCACGGGCGGGCCGCCGCCGGTGCGCGGCCGTTTGCAGGCCAGGAGCAGCGCCTCGGCCGGCTCCGTCCCGCCGCGCTTCCGCTTCACGCGCAGCACCGCCGCGCGCTCCATGGCGGCCGCCGGGCGGAAGGGGCGGCACCCCCCGCGCGGGGCAGGCCGGGAAGCGGCGGCGGGCGCACGGGGAGGCGGCCCGAGGGGTAGGTGGTGTCGGGGGGGGCAGAGGGGCCGACTCGGGGCTCTGGAGGGGATGATGGGGCCGCCGCGCAGGTTTCGGGCAGGGGACAGCGAAGAACGTTGTCCCCGTCCCCCGTTGCAGCGCTTTTGTGAGGCGGGAGAGGTGCGCGCCAGGCCGCTCTGCCGGCGGCCGGGCCTGTCCCTGCAGCTGCCGCTCCGCAGCGCGGCTCGGGGGCCCGGCCCGGCCTTGCCGCTTCCTTCAGAGAAGGTTTGGGCACCCTGTAGAGAGGGTGTTTGGTCTCTCCCGGCCCGACGTGCTGTGCCTCAGGGATTTGTTTTCCCTGGAGAATTTAATGGTGATTTTTTTTTTTTTTTTTCCTCTCTGTACTGAGTTCATGAACGGGGCTGGGGGAGCTTCAAACATCCTTGTAGAGAAAGCATAAGGCAGTCACCAGTGCTTCTGGCCGAGGCAGGTGTAATAAGGAAAGTATATGTATATAGATACAGATCTAGAGCTAAAGTGATGTCTCTTGTTTTCACTGAAAGCTTTGTGGTGTTTGTTTTTTTTCACAGCCAGTGTTATGGGTATTATACTGAAGCCAGGGCAGCAAAACTGTACATAATATATAAATAATACAAATTGAGATTGATCATGAAGACCTTTTGTGGAAGAGCTAATCCAACCACTGGTGCGATGGAGTGGTTGGAAGAGGACGAGGACTATGACTACCATCAGGAAATTGCAAGGTATGCCAGAAAAAATACCTTGTTGTTCCACTAAAGCTACAAAAAAGAGCAAACCCGACTTGTTCTTAGGACAGATTTTGGGGTTATCTCTGTAGAAGTTTGAAGGGCATGAGGTGAACAGACTGTAGGACAATCTAAATGTTACAGTCCCCTGTGTTATACAGGACAGAACGGTGAATGTAGAGTTATGTGAAGTATTCTCCAAGTAGTTTCCTTCTAAATTTTTTAAAAACATTCTTTGAGGTGCTGATCTTAATACTGATTGTGATTGAGTTGTGGCAAAATGCATTGACTAAATTTCTTTTGAATCCCTATGGCAACGACTAATTTCCAGTTGTTTGTTGCTGTAGTAACTATTTAAGTGTGTAATAATAACAGCCACAGGAGTTGGGAAGATTAGATTTTGGGGTATTTTTAAGTAGTGTGACTTGTGAAGAAATGGGGACCAAAGAAATGTAGATGTTGGTAACAAGTGGTAGACCACTAGTAGGCTGTCTTCCACCGCGGTGTATTGCTCTGTAGGAAACCGCGTCTGTCCCAGCTGTTGTTTCACAGCTGTTTGTCCATAGGTCTGTGCATTGGATCTATTGCTGAAGAGAGAATATATGCCAGCAGCTAATTAGTTCATTTATATGCTGGTGACCAGATCGCTGAAATGACATTATTCCTTAAATCTGGGGAAGAGTTCAGATCTTCAAAGGGTGCATCAGTTACCTGTGCATTTGGAGGCTATGAGGACCGGTTGCTTTAGTAAGAGAAGACAAAGGAGGCTGCGTAAGGTGTAGGAATTTTGTTGTGCTTTGCAGTATGTAGTATTTTGAATGGGATCTTTGTTTTTTTTATTGTAGGTCACGCTATGCAGATATGCTTCATGATAAAGACAGAGTAAGTATAGAAGCAAAAAACTTTTGAATGGTGGGAAAACATCTGTTTTCTTTTTCTTGAATAGCTGTCACTGAACAATTATACTGGTTTCTCTGGAAGATTAAATGATCAGATTTGTAGTCTTTAAGATACCAGACCTGCTCTTAGATCAACAGATGCCTTCTTACATCTGACTCCAGTGTTCTGTTGTTTACTGCAGAACGTGGTATTTACGTTCACTAGCTGATTTTGCTGTTCTGTGTTTGGCATTTTTGAAAGACAGAGCTCATTAGATGAAATTTCAAAGTCTGTAAAATGCTTCTTAGTTTTTATAGAAATGTAAGTAAAGTCTGTCTTTATTATTTTGTGGTATTTTTAGCTCTTATTTACTGCTTAGGATTGAGAAGAAAATTAAGATAGGCACGATGAAGTCTGGAGTGAATGATCTAAATGTTCTTTTTGCTCCAGCCATTTAGTCAACCGTTCTGTCAATAACCTTTTTAAAGAGGTTTATGGTGACTACTTTATGAGTCTTGAATTCATATTGAATTGCAACATATCAGTGGGATCAGGCGTTTAATAAGCATATAGAGACAGCAAGTTGTGTCTAAGTAATTAAAACAATTCTCTTGGAATTATATATCAAAAGTGTTAAATAGAATTGTTCGGAAAGGCTTCCAACACACCTTCCAAATGTATAGTGTCCAAAGATAGTGTATTCTTTGGAAAGGCTTGATAAATCAATAGGAAAGGAATATCTTGGAGCAGACAGGGGAAAAGTGATCAGAGTAACAGTAGTATCTTACATGGATCTTATTTGCTCTAGAAAATGTAAATTATGCATGCGCTCTAAATAGCTGACTAATCAATGACGATGTGAATATTGTGATAAAAACTGATGTACTTGAAATGGACTGATCCCACCAAAAGCCCTACCTTTTGTTGAAAATGGCTTTGGTGTGACTGTATAGCGCCCAGGATGCCTGTAGGCATTTTTCTAATTATAAACTCACAGTTGGAGAATGCAAGATTTCTACACAAAAATTCGAAGTATAAATGGAAAAAAGATTGATGATTATTTTTTTTTCCTTCCTTCCACAGAATGTGAAATATTACCAAGGTATTCGTGCGGCAGTGAGCAGAGTAAAAGAAAGAGGTGAGAAGGCAATTGTTCTAGACATAGGGACTGGCACAGGACTCCTGTCAATGATGGCAGCTTCAGCAGGTGCAGATTTCTGCTATGCAATCGAGGTGAGTGTTTGTTACAGGTTGCATATACTTCTGCGTACGTGTTTATAGCCTCTTCATCTGCAGGATTACTGGAGTGGATGCATTTGCTATTTTGTATTGTGGCTTCTGAAATGCAAGCTTGATACTTTTGTGCGTCAAAAACACTTAGATCTTACAAGAATATAGTTGAAAAGGTACATTTTTCTTTTTTGGGACACTTTCTGTAAATGTACAGATTAAAATTACTAAGTCAAGTTTTACAGTATTCTGTCTTCTCTACTTATGAAAACTCAAGCATAATATGGAAAACTTTAACCAAGTTTTTGAAAAATGTGAGTATTCTCTAACCATTTTGCTGACCTTCATAAGTTTCAGCTCTTGGAGAGGGGTTCTCAGACCACTTCATCATAACATGGACCACATCATAATGATTTTTCCATCTCTGTGATTAGATAAAGCATCTCCATTTTTATTGACGTCCTGATGGTCATTAGCAGCCATTACTTATATTAAGGATAATAACAGGAACAATTTGGCCCATTTAGCTTTTTTTTTAAACACATTTGAAGAAACAAAGAGAAAAGTCACTTGTCTGTGGGTCATAGTTGAAAGAATGCTATGTGATTTTTATCCAAAAAAAAAAACCTACATTTTTTTTAGTTGAGGATTTTATCCTATGATCATTTTTCAGGGACATTCCTCTTTCATGTTGACACAGGAAGCAATCAGAGAGGGTTTTGCTGGTTTCCAGAGTGGCCACAAATGTCTTAAGTAATCAGATTGTGTGTGAGCAGAATATTTAAAATTTTTGAGTTTAAAAACTGGATATGGACATTAAACCTTTTCAAAATGCTCTTCATCCTGTTATTTTTCAGCTATGCACTCTCTCTGTGCTTCTCTTTGTCCTGAAGAAAACAACAATTCTCGTCATGCTGTTAATAAAAGATTTTGGGCATACTTCACTGACTATATTTGTGCTGGTTGTTTTGGGTTCTTTTATTAATTTGTTTGTTTTATGCCTTGAGCACATATAAGTCACTTGGGGCCTCTCTTGATGCATATATATCTTTATTTAAAAAAATAAGTTTGTTTGTGTGCTAAAATATTCTTAACGTGTATTCTTGTCTTTCAAAAGTTAAATTGGAGTAGGTTTTGGAGTCAGCTGACGTTCAGTTTGTAAACAGTGACGTTGGAACTCTATGAACTATGAAGTAAGGCTTGCTGTCTTGTTTCATGGTCGTGAACCTCAAACATAGGAGAAGACACAGAAGATGTTAAATGTTTGCAGGACTAAGTATATTGCATTTTGTGCTGGTGTCCTTTCATTTTTGATAGCCAGTGTTAGCTTACCAGTTTGTTATACTTTTGCTATTTACAGGTTTTCAAGCCCATGGCTAAGGCTGCTGTGAAGATAGTGGAGAAAAATGGTTTTCGTGAGAAGATCAAGGTAATCAACAAACACTCCACTGAAGTCACAGTTGGCCCAGGTGAGAAAAATAGGCTAGGGGTAGAAAACTTGCAAAGTACCTTAAAATCATGAAGGAATATGTCTTATTCTTATTTTATACATGTTTTTAATTAAAACAAGCAAATCCTTTACGCTCTAGGAAGTAATACTGGAAATTTACTTCCAAAGGAAGTGTTGTAATAGTAATTCAGTAGTCATTTGTATTTCATAGTAAACTTTTAAAGGAAGATAATTTGCCGTCTTCAGCAGATTCTCTAACAGGAATAAGTTTTTCTTTAATTACTTGCGTTTTCAGGATAGCATCTTCTTGAAAGACTTTTTCTTAATGTTACAATAATAAATCGTGTCTTTTAGATGGAGATATGCAATGTCGTGCAAACATCCTGGTAACAGAATTATTTGATACAGAGCTGATAGGAGAAGGAGCTTTACCAACCTATGAGCATGCACACAAATTCCTTGTACAGGTAAGAAAACAGAGATAGTGTGTCACATTTATCCCTAGAGAAACTCTTCCGTGTTTTGGAGTAGGATAGAGATTATACTTGATTTAGGATTCTGTATCCTTTGTAAATACACCATCAGCTGTGCTAATTTCTTATGCAGTGAATAATTTACTAGATTTATTTCTAGAATAAAGC